TAGCAAAGACTCCAGTCAAACCTGACCATTCCTTGAATCCTATGCTTATGCGTTGGAAATTTTGCTTATTCTATTGATTTTATTCACTTAAGATGTCTTCACCATCAGGCCCTGCTTGCTAAAATTCCTTTTTACCACAACTGAAACAGAATACAAAGTCCTAAAACGGACCTGATGCACATGGGAATTTTGTATGAGTGGCATTTCAAATCAGTGGATTATGAAATAATGTTGACAAACTAGTTAGCATTTTTTAAGAAAATGAATTCTTATCTAATTTCTTATAACAAAATTAATTCTATATTTAGAAATAAGAAGTAGAGCCATTAAAATGCTGGAATAATAATAAAATATGTTATTTTAAATATAATCACTAAAGGGAGACTTTCCTTAATGTGGAAAGAATACAGATAAATTAATAAGAAACAATCCAATAGGAAAATAGTCTAAGAATTTATAATATATTATATACAATCCTCTTAAATAGAAAATAAATACTTTAAGTGAATAAATAATCTTACTTACAATGATCAAAACTTGAACTAAAACAATAAAAATGTGCCAATTAAAATATTGAGCTTACAGATTTGGAAGACTGATCCTGTATTAAAAGGAGCTTTCAGAATCAGAAATTCTTACATATGATATTTGAAAGACAACTTAGGAATCTCTAACAATTTTAAATGCACAAAAAGTTGACCTAGTACTTCTAGTACTAAGAATAATTCTCTGTATACTTACTGTAAGAATGTTTATTAGAGAACCACTGTAGTAATGAAAACTTGAAAATCACCCATCTTGCCATCATCAGGGTACTGACTAATACTAATACACACCCATATAACAGAATATTGATGAGTCATGAAATTTGGTGTGTGTGTGTGTGTGCACGTGCACGCGTGTGTGTAATCAAATGCCCAAAGAAAATTTCAGAACAATATGGACAATATAATTCTTTTATGAAGAAGAAAATATAAATAGAAAACATTAATATATTAAAATTAATAGTTTTAATTCTATTAGTGAAATTATGTATGCCATGAGTAAATCATAAGAATGAATAATAATCTTAGTACTCTTCTGTACTGTTAAAACATTTTTTTCCAACAAATGTATTTCTCTTACAATTTAAATTGTCATTACATCTTTATTTTGTAAGGCCTAGTCTCAACAACATCAACTTGATGAAGTGTTCCATGAATATTCTAGACAGATAATTCTTCTCTAAATTTTCTGGTAAATATTTCTGTTTTTTGCTATATCTTTTACTTTTTTGTTTGTTTATTTAGTTTATCTTATATCTCTCACTGTAGTGAAAATCATTGGTGAAAGGGCTTAGGACTCATAGAGCTTTGCGTCTCCCTCAGTAGATATGTACATGCATGGATAGGTAGGTGGATGTCTGTCTGAATTCTGTCTGTCTGTACCTATCTATGTAAATATTCATAACTATATCCATCTTTCCACCCAATACAAATTGAATTATATCAAAATTCCTTTGCCTTTGATTCAATGCTTGTCTTTTCTTAGTTAATTCAATCAGTTTAATTATCCATTTTATAAATTGTTTTCACTTTCCTGCTTTGAATATCCTTTCATATCATACATTCTTCAAAACTATTTCAGATTTTATCTTTTAAAATCTTACTAAATATTCAGAAAGAAGTGCCATCATTTGTTTCTATTTTTACAGTGGTTACAGGGTATTTGTATGTAGTTTTGTCCTTCAATATACATTGATTAAATCAAGAGAAAGCTCATGAGAATGATGATCCCCGTGAAATTTGGTTTCTCTTAAAATGAAAGCTCCTAGTGGGAGGAGACAATTTTATTACGTGTTTTGTAAAGTCTCAATTTAATGTGTTTGGTGGATTTTGTAGAAGGAAGTGATGAGATTTTTGCCATTTGCAAGGTTACAGATATAAAATAAAGGGGGACTACTGAAGAATCATTATTATGCAAGCCAATCTCATTGAGAGGAGGAAGTAGATGTCCAAGATAGTCTTGTCTAAAGTTGGTCAAGAAACAGGCAGCAAAACACTAACTTAAATGTTGGTCTCTATTCTTTACAACAAACTTTTGTAGCAAATGTTTTTTTGTGTGTGACTTATATATGGTCAACCAAGTAGCTTAAATTAACAGATAAACTAAGCAGAGGGAATCACATTAATAGTTTGTTCTTACTAGATTATTTTGTTTTTGAAATTATAAACATCTACATTTATCAGGGCAGAAACTGTGTAATAGGATAATATTTAGGTTATTTTGTTTTGTTTTTGAAGTCATAAACATCTTCTGTCTTTATTAATAGGATAAAGACAGAAGATACTTCTGTCAGATACTTTTTAATAGGATAATATCTAGAGGAAATATTTAAACAATAAAGGACAGTTACAGAAGAGAAAATGATTCTGGAGCTTGATGAGAAGAGAGTGACAAGCATTTTCAAATGATATTTACAAGTGGGCTTCCTATAAGTTAATAAAAATATCTGCATAGGCCAAACCCCATCTTTGGTTTGAGCTAAATGTACTTCCTTTGGTGGCGATAGAAGAAAGAGAAGGCCAGTGATGAAGCTGAAATTGCATGCCATAACCTCCTCAGAAATACTGCAGGCTGGTGGCTATAACTACATAAAGGGCTCTATGTAGTCTCAGAATGAAAAAGAACTATGTGTCTCCATTCTATTTCTGTCCTTACAAATTTCTGATTTTTTTTTTTTGCAGCTATCTAAGAAAAATTTGATATTGTTGTTGTCTAAGCACATTTAAACTTCAGCTGAAATAACTGCCAAGTGATTCATGCCTATGTAGGTGAATATAACGATTGTATCTGGAGCCCCAGTGCGCCATTTTCATTTCACTTTAAATAAAAAACAAAATGTATCTATGTCAGTCAGTGCCCTTCTGCTGTACTCAGAGGTATCAAACAGGCTACAATTATGATTGTGAAGTGATTGTGTCACATTGGAGGAAGGTTTATTGCTTTTGAGTCTGCTAGGCAGTAACACATTCTGTTTCATATTACTCTTTATATCATTGTTTGGCTGTGACTAGAATAATCAGATGCCATCAAATGCTGTCAAATTCAATTTACAGTATTTTTCATTGAAGCGGGCTTTCTGCATTATATTTCCTGTTTTCCCTTTCTATAGCTGCCATGGAATAGTCACTGTAATCACGAGCTTTATTTACAAAACCAACAGAGTGAAGCCACATCCTGGTCTATAACAGATACTTTATTTCCCTTTATTCTGAATAGGAATTTGATGTGCTTTTCTCATGCAATTAGCATTAAGTAGATGAAAGAAAACTATCTGAAGAGGGTGGGCATTTTAGAGCCTGCACTAATGTGCTTAGCGTAAAATGCAAATTCACATTAGCCATTTTACCTGTTCATGTGTATTTGAATCAGAAATATTATTCTTCAAATTAATGTTTGCTGAGAAGAAATTTGGCTAGCTCATTTTTGGTGATGTCATTTACATAACCAGAAATGCAATAATACTTTCTCTTTTCATAATTTCTTTTCTATAAGCCCTTAGCTCATCACTGAAGACTGATCTGAATCAAAAGATTTCAATATCTAAAGTTATAAGAGGAGCCTAAGTAAGTTTCACTAAGTTTTCAGGGCATAGGACCGAATAACAGAAGGCCTGAGGGGTAGGGAGACTAACAAAGGATGTTGAAGAGGTGGAGGTGCCGGGGAGATGAGGATAGAGATGATGATCAGAGAAGAAAGAAGAAAGGTGATTGTGTTTTCTGTGTTAAGTAGCAAGCTATCAGCTGACAGATTATTTGTCCCCTTGGTTCCTTGCATTATGCTTTCTGCCCACCTCCCCATCACTTTCTCTATTCTTTCCCTTCTGTTCCTCCCTACATCTCTCCCTCACTCTCTTTGCCTGCTCCTCCTCCTCCTCCTCATTCATTATTTATTTAAAGAATACATTAATTTAAAGCAGTGTTCATGTTGATCAGGTGAAGACCAGATCAGAGAGCAAAATATCCTTCAAAGAAAAATGTTCATGGTCTATGTCTCTTCCACTATTTTTTTTCTCTCTCTCTTAATCTGTCCATCTCTTTCTTCAATCTCTCTCTTCTCTATTCCTTCTTTTCTTTATTTTAGGTAGGTACACTTAATAAATTCTGCACATGGAACAAGCTGCTATAATACCATCTAACTAGTGGAGTGGAGCCTCATTAAAACAGAAGGAAAATTGGAGTGGAAAGTCCCTTTTTCTGCATATGAAAAGCATCATCTTTGGAGGAAGAGAGAGATCTTTTTAATCTCTATATTATAAATAATGAGAAATATTAGAATTCTTATCTTCTATCTGGTTTCCTCTCTGGAAAGACCATGTTTTCTTGGTCCATGGGCTGCTTAAGCAGTGGTCTGCAACCTTTTTGTCACCAGGGATTGGTTTTGTGGAAGACAATTTTACCATACACTGGGCAGTGCAGTTTGGGGGGATGGTTTCAAGATGAAATTGTTCCACCTCAGATCATCAGGCATTAGATTCTGATAAGGAATGCACAACCTAGATCCCCCACATGTGCAGTACACAATAGTGTTTGCACTCCTATGAGAATCTAATGCCACCACCAATCTGACAGGATGTGGAGTTCAGGTGGTTATGCCTGCTCACCAGCCACTCACCTCCTGCTATGTGGCCCATTTCCTAACAGGCCACCGATTCTGTGGCCTGGGGTTTATGAACTCCTGTTTTAGAGAACTGTTCTACCCTTTCACCAAATATAAGTCTACATGGGCTATAAAGTCTCAGTTTTCAAGGAGATCTTACTAAAAAATGTTACATAGTAGTTGTGATTTTCTTCCTTGGTTAATTTGTAAAAGTTTGAGCATCAGTCTTAGTTTCCACTGGTAGGTGTTACATACAAAAAAACATGAATTCCCATTCAACATAAAATGTACTTGATTTTTCAATGCTGGAGTAGTACACATTCTTAAATAACTATAATTATAGTAACAGCCAAGCTTACCTGTAAATAAAGTAGTTGATGATGATTCCATTTGGTTTTTTAGGTGGCATCCATGTAATCTCTATGCAAACTGAGCCCAGTGCCTTAAGAACGGGAGAATTAAGATCCATTGGGGCTGCTTCAGGTGTTTTGAAAAACATCCTACTGCTAACTCCACAGCCTCCTTGAAAAGAAATCAAGGTCATTAGTAATTTTTCAAGCAAGAAAAAGAGCTACATATGCATACAGAAGGGCAATGAGATCATAAAAATAATTTTTACCTGTGCTCTTGCATATATAGTTGTATATGTGTTTTAGATGTTATTATAAATCTTCGTGGGATTTGAACATTTAAATAGAAAATCATTTTTGGAAAACCCATTAATTAACCACATATTTATAAAGGCATAAACAATAATGTATATTCTTGTCTGAACTCAAGTTTCTCTGATTTATTTCAGTCATCCTAACCAGAAAATGATAATGTACTTGAATTTCACAAGTGTATGTGTGACATGCACATCTTGCATGCTTTTAATACTATTTTATTTTTTGCCAATTTTTAAACTAATGAACATTATTCAAACACACAGAAATCAACAATTTGTCTGAAGGATATTGTACCTCCATTGCACAGTTTCAGGGATATGAAGATGCAGAAGTTGGCTTTGTACTTAAATCAAGAATATGTTAATGTAAAATTATTTTCATGTTTATCAGGTGAAAACCAGATCAGTAAAAATAATATCCCTCAAACAAAAATGCTATGGTCCATATTTTAGAGAAAAGTGGACAAACTGACTACCAATTTCTGATATGAGTTCAGCATAGCAAAATTGCAGACTTATAATTCTAACCAGCTCCACAAGAACCAGCACCATTTGGAAGCAGAAATTCCTTAGGACATTTAATATAAGAGTTTCTACTACACATTGGGTATAAGATTTGTAAATTTATTTAAGGTGAAGGAAAATGTTTTGTATGCTAATGTAGCAAATGGGTGTTATATGTTATATAACATATAATATATACACCATATACTACATGTTATACATTATATAATATATATAATATCTATACCTGTTAATGTTTATATTTAATTTAAAATAGAGATAAATAAAATAATGTGTAGCTCTCTTGATTCCCTGTCCTCCCCTCCTAAGTCTCAGCTTACGTTTAGCTATTTATCCATTTGGCGAGATAAAGGGAATGGGGCCGCTTTCCTTAACACAGCACAGATACATGATAATTTCACTGACCACAGCCTAAGCCATGAAACACAAGGTGATAGTTTATGTATATAAAATAGGGTTCAAGGAAGCACTGTAAAATAGGTAGGATTCATTGGGGTTTAATTCAACTCTTAAATAACTTCTCACTTCCTCCTCCTGGATAAAATTTGAACAAAACCAAGGTAAATACGTTTTTATGAAATTTTTGGAATACTCGTTTTATATTGCCAAAGACTCCTTTATGTGAGCTAGGTGTTTTTCTTTCAAAGGGCCTTATAAAACAAGACTTTGCAAAACCACCATTTTAATATATTTAAATATTCATGATTTAATGTGCAGAAATGCATAATGCTTCACTTGATGCCAGACTGTGATTTTTCTGGGTAAACAGTCCACTACAAATAAGGAATGAAATGTTAGTCTTTGCATTTGGACTGAGAATCTATTCCTTTTTAATGAAATTTTTTAATGAAATAGTTTTTCATAAAAGCCCAGGCCAAGTGTCTGAAAGACTTTCACCATTTTGACATGCTTGTATCCTTATCTCATACTGTGTGAATGGAGCCAAATTTTCCAGGAGGGTAGATTGATGATGACCAACAGGAAAAGCCAGAGGTGCTACACTTCCATCATTGAGTAAGACATTGTACTCCACAGGAATATTGGGGATGAGGATCCCTTTAAAGAGAGAGAGAAAGAGAGAGAGAAAGTATATATGTCTGTAAAATATATATATATATTTTACAGAATGGTCAACAAATGATTGTCCATTAACAACAATGCATATTTAAAATTTCATAATTGAAAAGTAAATTATTTCTTAATATAGCAATTAAAAGCTGTATAAAACTTAGGTTGGAAAATATTAGACTGTATTTCAAATGTAAGAAATGTGCATAATCTGTTTTTAAAAGTATAGTAGTTCTATTCAAAGATATACTCTACTGGTGAATAAAAATGAAGGCACATTTCACTTAGAACATATGAGGCAATTATGCTGTCATATTTCTTCTAGGTTTACTTTCTCTTAAGTTCATAAAAAACAACACTGATTTTGCTTGTGACAATAATTTTTCTGTAGAGCATTGTATATGCATCCTGTCTGACATGGAATCCTTGACATAATGGCCCATAAAATATCCAAATCCTGGTCTACCTAGGGGATTCCTGTGCATTAATTATTGAATCAGGACAGTTCACTGTCAGTGAGACATATGGCCCTAAACACAGAAAATTTAGGTTTAACAATTGTCATTTTTCATCATTGCTTTCTAAAGAAAGTAGATCTTGTTAGTTTAGCCTCTTCAAAGTCTATTTATATAATTAAATGCTTGTTATGTTTCATTGGTCATGAACAACACGAATACTTTTTTAAGGGGAGGATATGAGTTTTGAAAGAAGAATATAATGGAGTTTTCTATTAACTTTTCTCCTTGGTCGGAGAGTTTATAACATTTATGAGATTAGTTATTTACCTTTGCAGTACCTACAGAATTCTATCCTTACTCTAGAAACAGTGGAATCTGCAGATAACATTGCTGAGAAAGCACAGGACTCAATGACCTAAGAGAGATGAGGTCTAAAGAATGAAATGTGGTTTTCCTTTTTTATAGATGTGGCCTCTATATTTAAAAAGTGGAAAAGCTAGTACAAACCAAAAATGCTCAGGATTTTGTGTAGGATAGATGAAAAAGAAGTGTCTGAAGGAGATATTTATTGTCTTAGGAATGACTAATCAATTGCTTCCTCAGGAAAGGTGCTAGATCGTGCTAAATTTGGCAATCCAGACTGAGAATGTTTATTTTAAATTTAGAACATCATGGCTAAACTACCCGGTACATTTATCCTAGTAGCTTAAGCTACTAACACTCTATCACTGATTCCTAAACTCTTATCTCTAGTTTTCTATCTTTCCTGTATTATAGCTTTGTATTTTCAACAGCCTATTAGGTATTTCTACATGGATATTCCACAATCTCAGCAAGTCTAAAACAGAACTAGCCATATTTTCCACTCCCAAACCTGTCTTTTCCTAGGTTTCCTCTTACAGTTAGGCATAATACCATCTTCCCATTTTCCTAAGCTGGACATCTTAGAATAAGACTCTTAGAGGGGATCCTACCTACTTCACTCCCAAACTCACGTGACTACTACACTTTATCAATGATTTCTTCGAGAAAAATGGGCTTTATACATAATCAGCAACAAGGAGACTTTGCAGATGTAAACAAGAAAATCAGAGTCAACCTATATTTTAGAATGGTAACACTGCTGGCAGGTGAATAGTGGATTAAAAACATGAGAGGCAAGACATAGAGCAACCAATCAGTTTGAAAGCTTTTACAATGCTTACAGAGGTAGTACAAACAAGAACAGTCGTTTCATTGCATTCCTGCGTTATGCCAAGGAGCATGCATTATCTCATTTAATACCACTAGAATATCAACCCTATAAGTCAGGACTTTGTTCTCTCCAATGTCTTGTGCCAGGGCCTAGATTTTGGCACAAAGTAGCAGCTTAGTAAATGTTAGTTGATTGAATGAATGAATGAACGAACCCTCAGGACAATACTGGATGGTAAATATTATTACTTTTTTTTTCTAAGATGAGAAGACCAAAGCTCAGATAAGTTAAACAACTTCCAGATTGCACACTAATTGGAGAAACTAGGACTTGAACTTCGGCCCATCTGATACCAAAGCTTATTCCGTTGTACTTATGCTCTTTCTTGACAATGAGGTCTTAGAGTAGGAAAACTGGGAGAAAAATGACAAGATAGGTTTGAGAAAACATGCGCAGCAAGGCAGAGCAGTTCTTGGAGACAGTTCAGAAGCAAGGAAACAAATGATGGATAAGAATCATTACTGATGAAACAAGCAGATTATAGGTGGAAATTTAAAGTTCTGCAGACCAAGCATCCCAACCTGAAATACGCATGTCGTGGAGGTTTGTGGGCTCATGTCAAAGTATATTCAAAGATAGGAACAAACATAGTACCATAGGTCCTCGGATAATGTTGTTTCATTCAACATTGTTTCATTAACATTGATGAGAAAAAAAATTGATTCCCAGCTAGAGCCACTGTCTGTATGAAATTTACACGTTCTCCCCATGTCTGCATGGGTTTTTTAAATGGGTACTCTGGTTTTCTCCTATATCCTAAAGATGTTCCCATTAAATTAACTGGTGCATCTTAATGGTTCTAGTCTGAGTGAGTGTATGTGTGTGTATGTGTGTGTGTGCCCTGTGATGGAATGACCCTTAGCTGCCTGGTTAGGCTTTGGTCGTCTCAAAACCAAAATGGAACAAGTATGTCAGAAAATGAATGAATGAATACAAATGATTGTAAAGATTCATAAAGACTGTGATAATCATATAGATGCATAACGATAAATAATGCTGTACAAAAGCCTCCCACGAGCTTGCCCTGTTTGTGATTGTTTTTTACCACTGCTTGGTGGTAATAGGAGTTTCTTCTAATTTCTGCTTAAAAAAAAAAAAACAAAACATTTATCCCTATGGCTGTTGTCACTCACCGATTTGCAAAAAATTAGGTTAAAAATAATCTTGTTTCTATTAATCTTTCTTTTTTTTTTGAGACAGAGTCTCACTCTGTCACCAGGCGCCAAGCTGGAGTGCAGTGGCACAATCTCGGCTCACTGCAACCTCCGCCTCCTGGGTTCAAGCAATTCTCCTGCCTCAGCCTCCCAAGTAGCTGAGACTACAGGCATGGGCCACCACGCCCAGCTAATTTTTGTATTTTCAGTAGAGACGGGGTTTCACCATATTGGCCAAGATGGTCTCGATCTCTTGACCTCGTGATCCGCCTGCCTCGGCCTCCCAAAGTGCTGGGATTACAGGCTTGAGCCACCATGTCCGGCCTCTATTAATCTTTCTTAAACATATGTATGGCTCATATTTATTTCAGTTTAATATTCAAAGTGTTTTGGTCTTTCTTTGGTGATGTTTAATTTGGTGATGTTTTTGTGACCAAGAAATATGCCTTGGAACTTAAATCTTGCTTATACCAGTTAGCCTAAGGTAAAATTGGTTTCCTTATACATGTATTCACCCAAAGTTGCAGTTTCCAAGAACTTATCAATGACATTAAGAACTTACTGCCCCTCTTTTTGGAATATCACTTTGATATGCAAAATTTGGGAAACACATGGTTTCCCTGTTTGAGGAAGGGGAACCAGCAGAATCCCACTTGTCTTTGTTCACAAATACTGAGTTTTTCTTCCTAAAAGTTCAAGATTAGAAAATTGTATGTATGTTGAGTGATTATAACTTTTGCTAGCCAGTTGCGGAGTTAAAGACTCTATAATCACCTCAGAATGAACCAACTGTAGGACAGAAGAAGATGTTTATGCTGATGTGCCAGTGTGCAGAGCAAGTATAACTGTCCATACTGTAACCAACAGACAATGTAATGAGTCTCTCACTATTGCTTTAAAATGAATTCAATGTGGATTATCTACCCTAGACATGGAATGAAAAGTTGGCCTAGCCCATGACATTTCCACTTAGTTTCAGATAATAAAGAGTTCTATACTAGTTTTCTCCACAAAGAAACAGAAAAGTATGTCATAACAAAAATTAAATGCCTAAAAAATTAAATAACTTTATTTTTCTCTATACTGATATGGCGAATACACATAACAGGCCTATTTAGAGGCTATTCTTCAAGGCGTAATTCACCACTGCATGACAAAACTGGCAGCTTTTACTGCTCTCAACAAGACTGCAGTAATTAAAGTGAAATTTGAGAGTTAGATAAGGAGAATTGCTTATAGAGACCATTTGATACTCAGTTCATTAATGGATGAGAAAAATTTAAGTACTGTCCTAGAGGTAAAGAGTAATCAGGCGTCTTCTTTCCTACAAAAAATATTTTTTTGGAACATGTTGCTTGAGGTAGTAAGAGAGATTGAAGAAGGAAACAGGGACCCTTTCAGATTTGTCATTTGATCTTTCAGCAGGAAGATATGCTTATGGAAATTTCCATCCAGAGTATCCTGGAATGACAAAGCATTCCATATCACATTTCGGGAATTTCTCCTCATTGTTATCCTGCCATAACAGTAGAGGGGAAAAAAAAGCTGTTGTTTAAACCTGCTTTTTTTTTTTTTTTTTTGAGATGGAGTCTGGCTCTGTCTCCAGGCTGGAGTGCAGTGGCACAGTCTCGGCTCACTGTAACCTCTGCCTCCGGGTGAACCCACATATTTACACTAAAATGAAGAGGGGAAGAATTGCTAGGACCTTGAACCTGTTATTGGGCTTAGTTTTCTTCAGATCTTCCTAATATCCTGAAATATAACAGTGTCATCACTCTTTAGCCAATGAGGCTAGTAGAAAGAGTTTTCCCAAATGAAAAATTGTATAATATATTATTTTTTGGATGAAGACAAACACTGGAATACAATGGCAAATGTACATAAATTTTTAAGATAAAAAGCAAGACCTTAAAGAAATTGCAAGCTAATGATGATTGCTTCAGGCTCTGTTTTCAGACCTCCTGGGATTCCATGTTCATTCTGTCTTCTTTGTTCCTAGGATAGTTCTTGCAGAAAAGTGTGACAAACACACATTCATAAAAAATATGCCATCATTCTTGTTGAACTAGACAAACCACAGAGTGGTGTCAGACAGATCAAATCCTTCTTCTCCCCTTATTT